AAAAAACTAGAAGTTCACTGGGAAGTGGTGGCGCACACCTTTGATCCCAACACTCAGGAGGCAGAGGCAGGCAGATCTCTGTGAGTTTGAGGCCAGCCTAGATTACAAAGCAAGTTTTGTAGGACAGCCAGGAGAAACCCTGTCTCAAAAAACTAAAAAACCAGCCGGGCGATGCTGGGGCACGCATTTAATCCCAGCACTTGGGAGGCAGAGGCAGGCAGATCTCTGTGAGTTCGAGACCAGCCTGGTCTACAGAGCCAGTTCCAGGACAGGCTCCAAACCAAAGCCACAGAGAAACCCTGTCTCAAAAAACCAAAAAACAACAACAACAACAACAACAACAAAACCCTAAAAAACCAATCAACCAACCAACAAAAACTCTAGAAGTTCCGTTTAGACTAAAAAAGATGTATGTAAAAGTACAATATTACATACATGAAAAAAAAGGTATCCAATCATGGAAAACACCTTCCCTTAGGGACTGAGACTGGGTGAAACAGTGAGTTTGAGTTTACATTGTAGACACTTGAATACCAACTGAAAAAAATTTTGGAGACAAGTTTTCACCATTTAGTCATGGCTGACTGGAACTTGGAGTTCTGCATGCCTTTGCCTCTTGAGTGTTGGAGTTGAAGGTGTGTGCTGCCACACTGGGTGGAAAATATTTTTAGAGATGTATTATTTGCATAGAATAGCTTAAAATGATGTAATGCAAATACGATTATAATACAGGTGTCTTCATCCTCAAGTTGTGTAAATTATAAGGTAACAAGTTCATAATACTGAAATCAATTCACTTACCAGATAATCATATTTCACAGAGCACTGGCCTCTTCTTATGGCAGTCAAATTACTCCAGATTAGGTGTTGGTCTATCCCTCGTTATTATATTAGTTAACCTCTAGTGTAGGTGTGCTTCTTTGGCAAGTACTAAAACGACTCTGCGCCTTTAATCCCAGCACTCGGGAGGCAGAGGCAGGCGGATCTCTGTGAGTTCGAGACCAGCCTGGTCTACACAGCTAGTTCCAGGACAAGCTCCAAAGCCACAGAGAAACCCTGTCTCGAAAGACCAAAAAAAAAAAAANAAATAAAACGACTCTGACCTCTTCTTATGCCATTTCTCCAGGAATACAAACTAAGGAACATTGTCATTTAGATTGCCCCCTGAGAAGCAAAAATGACATACTAATCTCCCATGCTTTAAATCTTTGTCTGGATAACCTTTTCACAGGCATGTAATTACAGCTAAACGAATGGTTTCCCAAGTACAACCTCATGCTTAAAGTGAGGTAGCTGGCCAGCTCTCCAGTGGATTAAGTGAAACTGAAGAAGCTAAATGATTAATAGAATTCTTTCAGAATCATGACAAGTAGACTTTACATTTTCTGCATCATCAAACATAAGTATTGTATCAATTTAAAGTTATAGGGAGATGTTTAACATTTGACTGCATGACTTGTAATACAAAGCAGAGGCTGGTTCTTACCTAAGCTTATCATTTAAAATTCTCATCACACACAACTATCCTTCTTACTGCTTTCTTCAATAATATGCACAGTTTAACTCAGACAAAGCAGAAATAGTACTTCATACTTTGCTATCTCAATTCCTGATTTTTAGGAGGATTTAATCCATGAAACTCTGTGGCAGAATGAAACATTTTTATGATCCTAGGGGGAAGCCAGGCCTGAAACATAAAAATAAACCCTCTTTTATATATTACTGTGTTTTGAGACAGGGCACTGCTGAGTAAGCCAAACTGGCCTGGAACTTTGTGATTCTCTTGGCTCTGTGGCCCAGGTACTGAGTAGATTATAGGTGCAAGCCACCACTCCCAGGAAATGACAGTCTTGAAAGTTCCTGTGTGATAGCAATACTTTAATAGGTTTTAAATCTAGTCTTCCCTGATATTAGGGTTCAGGCATTATGCTGGCCCCGTCTCCTGGCAGGATGCACTCAGGCGGCACCCTAGCCAGCCTAGGGTCCTATGGCTGCTACGTTACTATGTAGTCTGTACACAGGTGCAAAGGTCCCTTTAATAGACAAGCCCCACCTAACCACACTCTCTCTTCCTGTCGTTTCTCTGAAGCAGGTCACCATGTTTATGTCTCTTTTCTCTTTCCCTCTCTTTTCCCTTCCCAATAAACTTCCTTCCCATATAAACTCTGTGTGATGGCATGTTAGTCCCCCACCGTAGGATCCAAGGTCCTACCTCATGCCACGTATCATTGCATCTGTGTCGTGACTCGGGCAGGTCAGTGTTATGTTGGAACCCTAACACCTGATATTTAACACCTGATACTTTTGTGATAATCATCTCAGGAGACAAATTCCAACAGCAGTCCCAGCTTTCAAGCCGGGCAGTGCAACAAGTGGAGAAAATAATTTATTCAAAATCCACTGTAAATCAACCAGGGAAGTTAAACACCCAGGTCCATCCCTCATACTGTGACATCATTTTTACACACTATTTGGAAAAGTAGTTATGCATACTGTATCTCGCATCTAAACTCTACTTTAAAAATAGTTATTTACTTTTAAATTATGTGTGTTGGGGGGTATGCACATGGGTGCAGGTATTTAAGGAGGTCAGAGGCATCAGACTCCCAGAGTTACAGGTGGTCTGAGCCACCTGACATGGGTGCTGGGAATCGAACTCAAGTCCTATGGAAGAGCAGTGTATACTCTTAACCACAGAGCCATTGCTCTAGCCCCATTATCTGAAATCTAAATTATCCGAAATTATGTTTCTCACAGCTGAAATCTTGGTTTAGATTTTTTTCCTTTAGAATTATTCATAACTCATACTTTGCAGGATGACTGAATTGTTGTGTCTGAAGACACTGAACTGATGCCGTGGAAATTAAAGGGTTTGGCTATATCCCCAACCTCCTGATTCATGGGCTTTTAGTAAGACAGCTAATCTCAGGTCTCAAATTAACTGCCTCAGAGAACTGGAAAGGGCAGTGCCGTGATTAAAGCATCCACGCGGCTGATCTGGTCCACCAGGAAAGGTAAGTAGAGAAACAGCTTTCTCTGGCAGGGCATGTGACAGTCAGCTGGCTTCAGGAACTGAAATCCTTTTGCTGGACCTAAATTATCTAATTGGCATCTCGAGTCCTCTCTAATCCAAATAGCTATTTTTCAGTGTTTCCTTACGGAGAAGCTTCATATTATGAATTTCATGGTGAAGACAGGTACAAACTAGAATTGAAAGGAAGTGGGAATCAGATGCAGGGCACATGTTTTTCATATCTGTAGGCAGAAGCAGGAGGATCACCACCAAGTCCCAGCCCAGCCAGATAGTTACATAAGAACATATCTCACCGCCCCAAAAAGGATATGAAAAAAAAATCTATTGTATTTATACACCTCTTTTTGGTTTACTAACATGACATTTTTTTTTTTTGTTTTGTTTTGTTTCTGTCTTTTTGGGACAGGGTTTCTCTGGGAAGCATTGTCCTGGAACTAGCGCTGTAGACCAGGCTGGCTTCAAATTCATAGAGATCCACCTGCCTCTTGCTCCTGAGTGCTGGGATTAAAGGTCTGCGACAATACCTCCTGGCTGTTTTTAACATTTTGACTATTGTATATACTATTGCTACAAACGTGAGAGCACAAAGTAGTTAACACACTCCTTTGAAGACATTCTTTGGGAGTACACACTCGGAAGTGGAATTGCCAGACCTTCTGGGAAAATCTAACATGGTACAACACAATGAGACGTTAAGTGAAAGAAGCCAGTCATAGGAGAAATGTGGTTCGATTTACAGTGGTTGCCATGAACTGGTGTGAGGAAAGACTAGTATTACTGTTGAGTGAGGAAGTTTCAGTTCTCAGCTAGATGTAGTCCTCAAAAAACTGCTAAGGCTGCAGAACGATGTAAATGTACTCAATGCTACTGAATTCACTCCTTAAAAAAAATAATATATATTCTTTTTAAGCAAGCTACTCTGTCTTGAACTGTCTCATTTCTAGAGGAGGGCAATTGTTAGGCTGAAGCCACATAAGAAACTTGTACATGAAGGAGGCAGGGCCGGGTGTGGAGGAGCTCTTTGTAGAACCAGTAAAGTACGCAGGAGGCTGAGGCACGCGAATCGCCAAGTTCGAGGCCAGACTGGGCTACAAAAAAACCTAGCACAAGAAACAAAGCCAACCCAACCCAAGCAATATACCAAAGGGCGTTAAAAAATTGTGTGTGTGCAGGTCCAGCGGGAAGGAAGTTGGGCCGAAGACCGTGAAAGAAGAACTAAGGCAGCCAGGGAACAGGAGCGGTCCTGAGCACCCCCACCCCAGGGAAGGGGTCAGGACCGCCTGGCCTGCTGGGATTTGGAGTCCAGTGTGCTAACACTCAGGGTAAGGGGCCTAGGATAGATGCAAGGGGCTGGGGCCTAAGCTCCCAACAGGCAGAAAAGAAAATAATCAATTTTGTGACGATTCCCTGCCATTAGGGCCTCTGAGCACTGCGGGTTCTCCGCCCGCCCGCTCCTTTGTCTCCCGCACCGCTTTCCACAGAGCCCCGCTCCCTAACAATCCGAGTCTTCCAAGGCGGGTCTCGGCCACCGCAGCACCAACCGTCGGCGCTCCGGCCCCGCCCGTCGAACGCCAGGACGCGGGGGCGGGCAGAACCGTCCTCGGGCGCCCCGGAAGTCCCTGCCCTGCTCTCCAGCCGAGCGCCGCGGCGAGATGCGAGGCCTACGATTGGCGGGGAGGCGAAGATGACGCGCTACGTGCGGCGGCGTCGCCCCGCCCCTGCGCTCCGGCGCGCTGTTAGCGTGGGGTGGGGCGGAGCGTGGCCCCCGGCGGCCATTACCCGGAACAATCCCGGGCCTCGGGTCAGGTGACCCACGGCGGGGCTGGCGGGAGGGAGGGCCGAGGGGTGGAGACGAGGAGTGAGGCGAGAAGCCGAGGGAGGAGAGAGGAGAGAAGGGCGGAGTAGGAGGGAGGGGAAGGGGGCGGGGTGGGAGCGGGTCACGTGACTCGGCATGGAGGAGGCGGCGGCGGCGGTCGGGAGGAGTCGCCGGGGCAGAAGCCGCACTTGTTAGTGTTGGGGGAGGAGGGGACCGGCGACGCCGACACCGTCAGCCGGCGACGCCGCGAAGAAGGCGGGAGGGGGTGGGGGCGAAACCAGGCTCCGACCCCCCGGCCGAGGGGATGAAGGGAGCATGGGCGCCAAGGAGTCACGGATCGGATTCCTCAGCTACGAGGAGGCGCTGAGGAGAGGTGAGGGGGAGGGGTCGGGCGAGCTGAGGGGAGGCCAGTGCCGGGCGCCCGAGGGTGGGTGGCCCGAGGGAGGGGCGGCAGGGTCGGCTGGGGCGTGGGGTGTCTGGCGAGGGACCTGGGGGGGGGCAGGCGTGGGAATCCTGAGGGCCGGGAGGTGGAGTGGGGAGCGGTGTTTGGGAATTGGGGCGCTTGGGGAGGGGGCGAAGCTTTCTCAGTGATGGGGTACCGGGCGCTGGCTGGCCATTCGATGCACTCTGGTGGCGTTGTTATCTTGAGTCGGTTCAGGGAAACCCTGTCCATCGCTCCTGGGATGGTTCAGCCTTTCCTTCCAGGCCCCCTCATCCTTCAGTGCCATTTTCTTATATCACTCTTGCATTAAAAAAAAAAATACAAGCCTCCGACAACGTCCTGATCGGGTTCCTAACAGCGTTGGCTGGAGAAGAGAAGGTGGCTGCATTTTGCTCCTGGAAATCCTTTAGTATTAGGGAATCTCTGGTTTTTCCCAGGGTCTTTGCCTGTCTGCCGAGGGCGATGACCATCCTTGCGCCTCTCACCCTTTCAGGGGTTGACTTGGATTAAGAAAGACCTGGAATGAAGTTGTGTTTAAAGGTGACAAGAGATTAGACAGCTGATGTTGCCATAATACCTTGTCGTAGGTTTTCTCACCCCGGACATTGATCGGGTTGAGTGCACTTGCTTCCCAGTTCTCACCCCGGCGCTCCCCTGAAATGGCATTCGGAAATCCAGCATTGTGATACTGTGTTACTTCTCCCTTCAGACGCTGGCCTTGCTGTCAGTCCTCGGCTGCTGCTGCTGCCATTGCCTCTGATTTGCACTGTGTTGTTAACAGCCCCAACCCCCTACCACTTACTCTTGATACTGTTGTCCCTGATCACGAAAGCATACGCTAACTGGAAGTATCTTGCACAGTTTTTATGGCCGGAATGTGACTTAATTTTTCATGGCTGAGATTTGAATGTATGGTTGTGTGGTGCTTGTATTTACTCTCGACCTTTAATGGATTTTCTTGGTAAGAAGTGAAAAACATTAAGCAGATTAGAGGCCAGATATTATTGTTGACAGATTTCTGAGACAAAAAAAAAAAAAAAATTGCGCCTTGCGCCAGGTGGTTTTGTAGCTTCAGATAGAAAATGAAAATAGGACGAAAAAGACATTTTAAAGTGAGATCTAGTTCATATATAAAGAAAATTGTGAGTTCACTGTACCCACTACCTAATAAATAGATAATAAAATGCAGAGTTGTAGTTGCATCAGTTTTGGACTGAGCAGAATAGCAGAAGTAAGCCTTTTAGTGGTGCCTTCCTCTCAGCAGCATGGTGATTGTTCTTAAGCACAATCTTAGTTGAGCTTTTTCTCCCTGTTTCAATATGAGAAATATTCCAAATTCTTGGTGTATTTTCAACCCTAATAGACCAGTCATTTCCTGAATGCTGTTGAGCTTGACAGGTCTGGGGGCAATTAGACAGTGGCTTACACGGCATGAAATAGGGCACAGTCGAATTGATTTATAGCTGATTTACAGGTTCAGAAGTGTTTCTAAGTTTAAGGGTGTGAATACCAGTCATATACCTGGTGTTAAGATATTCTAAAATTAAACTTTATTCCAGCTCTTGCTGTTTTATTTTATATCAAATTAAGATTGTACATTTTTTGTTTGTTTGTTTGTTTGTTTGTTTTTTTGCGACAGGTTTGTTTCTATGTCTAGCCCTGACTGTCTTGGAATTCACTTTGTAGACCAGGCTGGCCTTGAACTCAGATATTCACCTGCCTCTGCCTCCTGCATGCTAGGATTAAAGGCGTGGGCCACTATACCCAGCAAGAGTGTACATTTTATAATATAAATAATACATAATATAACTATATAAATATAAATGAAATTGATACATTTAAACATGATCTGGTGAAAGGCTTTCATTTAATTTGTTATGAAGCATGTCTGAAAGTTTAATATGCATATTTAAATAACATGTATGTATTAAAGTCATGGTAAAGGTTATTTGAATGTGTTTGTTTTTGTCAGTTTTGCTACAGGGGTATTAAACCAAAAGAGGAGCAAGTTGATAAAGTGGTTTCTATGTGTAAACAAGGCATGTTTAAAACAGGCAACTTTTAAACATGATACTATTCACTCAAATTCAATGTCACACTTCAATTTAACTACAGAATGGGTTGAGAACCTTTTGGGAGACACCTAAATAAATAGGTACTAATACCTGTATTAGTTTTATCTATCTGTTTACTTTGTGTGAGGTGAGATGGATCAGATAGGATTTGACAAGTAAAAAAAAAAATCTTGATCCGGGCAGTAGTGGTCCAAGCCTTTAATCCCACCACTCCAGAGGCAGAGGCCGTGAATCTCTGTGAATTCAAGGCCAGCCTCCTTTACAAGTCAAGTTCCATAGAGAAACTCTATTTTGAAAAACTGGAAAAAAACAAGAAACAGTACAAAAAAGCCGGAAAAAAAGAAAAAATAATGAACTTGAGAAAACTATTTGACCCTTTGACTTTAATTTAAATGATTGAGCTCTATTTACTGCTTATCTATAATTCACAGCATTAAAAAGAAGTCTGATGTATTACTACAAATAAGAAATTGCAGTTTATGTAGCAAAGCAGGATCTTGAAATATAATATTACAGGGAGAGAGGGAAAGGCAAAAATGATATACAGTAGAAATACTAAAAAATTAAAATTTAAAAAGTGATATAAAGACAATAATAAGAAATGGTGGCGTACACTATTAATCCCAGCACTCGGAAGGCAGAGGCAGGCGGATCTCTGTGAGTTCAAAGCCAGCCTGGTCTACAAAGCGAGTTCCAGGACAGCCAGAGCCACAAAGAGAAACCCTGTTTCAAAAAAAAAGAGCAGTGTTAGTGACAGATAACACTGGACCTGAGTGAAAGGGTGGTCTAGTTTATGTCTGAGGTGCTAGAAATTAGGATGATTTTTGGGTTCATATCCTATTTTGGTTAGACTGCCCGTTATTTTGACTTTTACTTTTCTGAATGTCTGTAGCTTTAAATATTTTTGGGGAAGATGTGTTAGTGGTACCTTTTTTTTTTTTCTTTTTTGGCTTGTATTGTAAATACTTTGAGTAATATACAAGGGACTTGACTTTTTATTAAGATATTTGTGTTATATTTATTTGTCTGTGTTTGCTAGCCATAGTGTGTATGTGGAAGTCATAGGACAGGTTGTTTTTTTTTTTTTTTTTCCCTAGACGAGGTTTCTCTATATAACAGTCATGGCTGTGTCTCCCTGTAGACCAGCCTGGCTTTGAAATCATAGAGACACGCCTGTCTCTGCCTCCCACGTGCTGAGGTTAAAGGCTTTCACCACCACCACCCAGCCACAGGTAAGTTTTTGACTCAGGAGTCAGTTCTCATTCAACCCTATAGATCTCCGGGATTGAACTCAGGTTATCAAGTTGGCAGTGAGCATCTTTACTCTCTGATCCATTTCATAGGCCTAACTTGACTTTTTAAAAAAATATTACTAAACTTAAAGAATGCATATGTTTGTCTAGGGAACTATGCCTGTTTTCATGGATACTGAGAATTTTTTTTTTTTTTTTTTTTTTTTTTTTAGTTTTTCGAGACAGGGTTTCTCTGTAGCTTTGGAGCCTGTCCTGGCACTAGCTTTTGTAGACCAGGCTGGCCTCGAACTCCCAGAGATCGGATACTGAGAATTTTAATAGCTTTGTTTGCCATCTCTTTATTTTACCATGCTTTATCACTTTGTAACTTTTGTGTGTTGTGTGTGTGTATGTGTTTTAGACAGGACCTCATTTTGTAGCCCTTGTTCTCCTAGAACTCACTATACAGACCATGCTGGCCCTCGTAGATTGCCTCTGTCTGAGTGCTGGGATTATAGGTGTCTCCCAACAGGCCTGGTTATAGCTTGTATATATTCTGTGTGTTTTTGTGCACATGCACACCTGCTCTCACATGAGCACACATATAACATGCACACCTTTGCACTTGCATGGATTGACTAGAGGACAATCTCAGGTGTGAATCTTCCTCAGATGCCATTCACTTTTTTCTGTCTTTCAGTAGTTTGGGGCTCAATGATTAGGCCAGTTATCAAAAGTCCCAACAGGTGGGCTTTAATCCCAGCACTTGGGAGGCAGAGACAGGCGGATCTCTGTGAGTTCAATGCCAGCCTGGTCTACAAAGTGAATTCCAGGGCAGGCTCCAAAACTATAGCACTTTACCACTTGGGCTATCTTCCTAACTCTTGAAACGTGTGTGTGTGTGTGTGTGTGTGTGTATACAAGATATATGTATACATTTTAATATTTTGTTTGTATAATAGTATAATAATATAAACACACACATATATTTTAAAGACGGTCTCTATGTATCCCTGACTGTCCTGGAACTTACTATATAGACCAAGCTAGCCTCAAACTCCCAGATAACCAATTGCCTCTTCTAAGTTCTGAGATTAAAGGTGAAGCTTGTATATTCGGTAAAATGTGTTCTAAGTACTCAGAACACATTTAAAATTCATTGGATGAGGATTGGCATAGTGGCAAATGGCTAATCTCAGAATTCAGGAGGCAGAAACAGGCAGATCTCTTTGAGTTTGAGGCCAACTGGTCTACATAGTGAGTTCTAAGCCAGCCAGGGCTTCTTCAAGTGAGACCCTATCTCAAAGAAAAGTTGGGTATCAAATATTTCAGTATTCAAAGAAAAATTAAACATTTTCTCTAATTATTCTCTGTACCTCCTTTCTTGCTGATTTTTTTTTTTTTTTTTTTTTTTATTTTT